ACTTGATCTAGACCCATGTTGTCCAGAGGACTGACCTGAGCCAGATCCATGTTGGCTAGAAGGTTGACTTGATCTAGACCCATGTTGTCCAGAGGGCTGACCTGAGCCAGATCCATGTTGGCTAGAATGTTGACTCGATCGAGACCCATGTTGTCCAGAGGACTGACCTGAGCCAGATTCATGTTGGCTAGAAGGTTGACTTGATCTAGACCCATGTTGTCCGGAGGACTGACCTGAGCCAGATCCATGTTGGCTAGAAGATTGACTTGATCCAGACTTATGTTGTCCAGAGGACTGACCTGAGCCAGACCTGTGCTTACCATAACTAGATTGTTCTGAGCCAGACCCACATTGACCATGGCTAGACTGACTTGATCCAGACCCATGTTGTCCGGAGGACTGACCTGAGCCAGATCCATGTTGGTTAGAAGACTGACTTGATCCAGACCCATGTTGACCAGAGGAGTGACCTGAGCCAGACCCATGCTGACTAGAGGACTGACCTGCACAGGACCCATGTTGACCAGAGGACTGATTTGAACCTCTTTCATGTTGTTCACAGCTAGATGACTGACCAGAACCAGACCTCTGTTGACCACATTTCGAAAACTCATTTGAGCCAGACCTGTTTTGACTTGAAGTACAAGAAGGGACACAAGAACCAGACCTATGGTGACTACAACTAGAAGACTGACTTTCTTCAGAACCATATTGCCCACAGCAAGAGGACTGATTTGAACCTCTTCCCTGCTGTTGTCCTCTACAGCTCTGTGGTTGATCACAATTTCTAGATCTATGTCTTCTGCCACTAAAAGACTGACTACAGGAACCAGAACTATGTTGACTAGATCCAGAGGACTCACATCCAGAAGACTGACCTGAGATACATCCATGACCTTGTCCTCCATTACTTCCTGAATGAGTACAGTTAGATTGATTTTCTTGTCCTCGAAATCTACCTGCCTGACAAGAACTAGAAGCTTTTTGTGGCCTTTCACAACCCCCTGGATTTCTAGAACCACCGTCTCCTGAATCTCCAGAGCTAGACCCAAGTCTTTGTTCTCTACTCTTTGACTGAGCAGATCTTGACCCATGTCCACCAACTTCCAATCCATGTGACAAACCACTCGTTTGACCTTTCCTTCCCCCACTCACTGATCCAGATCCAGATTCATATTCCTCCCCAGATACCCAAGAGGGACTAATACTTGACTTGTTCCTTCTTTCCCCCAGCTTTTCAGAGCTGGAACCACTACTCCATGAGTGACTAGAACTTGACCCAAGGCGCTTTTTCTCAGATCCCTCTTCATTCTCTGAACTGGACAAACCACTTTGCCTTCCCAGCCTCTTGGAGTTAGACCCATGTCTATGTTTTACAGCTCCCCTTGAGCCCCCAGAATTATATCCATGCTCATCTCTCTCATTCCAACTTGAATATCTGTAACCTGATTTCTGTTTTGGTGTTTCCGCTTCATCCTCTTCTGTTTCACTTTCTTCCTCTTGGTGTCGGTGACCACGTCTATGCTTCTTTGACCCTGAAGCCTTGCAGTATTCTTTGCTAAGAACCTTGTTACAGGCCATAGCCAGCTTGAACACCATCAGAAGAAACTCAGTAAAGTCCAGTCTCCGGTCATGATCTCGATCCAGCATATGCATGATGACATCCACTGTATCTGGATCATCTGGGTTCTATACATGAGAAACATACCAAGGGAGATCTGGTCAGCTTAGCTCACATATTCAGATAAAATATTCAGGGAGAACATAGAGGGCTAGAGCTGAGAGTGGAGCATCCAGCTTATATGAAGTGAGGGGAGATACATAAGAGCATCCAAACATGCAAATAGTACCCATTTGACCTAGCTTCAATGGCTTTAAGATCACAACTCCTCTAAAAGAAGATAAAAAAAATTTGATAAAGGAAACAAGTGTAAATTGTTAACTTGACCTATAGTTATGGATGTAGTAGCTCAAAATACCAACTGAGAGGGAAGGAGTCCTCATCCTACCCCCTCTGTACACAGGGGTGATAGGTACAGGCAATTTACACATTGGGACCTAAAATGGGGGCACTATAAAGACACAAAGTGACTGACCTACAAGTTTTCAAGAGAAAGTTTAGTTTCAGAGTGTGTGGGGGAAGGTAGAATCTACACTGAATGGTTTTCATCTTGTCTAGACAAATCTGGTGAAAGGAGATAGGGATAAGATTCTTATGATTCAATAGTGAGTAGTTGTTATCATGACTAATTGCTATTGTCACAACTGCAAAGGTTTTATAACATTACATTCCAGGAACAAAGGACCCTAGGACTATCAAGGGAGAAGAGCATGAGTGGAATGTGGAGTCCTATCCAGAGAAGCAGTGACACCAGAGCCAGAGCCACTTAATGTAAAAAGGTAGAGATGAGGACATAAAGAGATAGAGCAGCTGAGGACTCTAGACTCATGGAAAGAGAAAGGCTGTGTGCTGGTGGCCAGGAGGCAAGCTTGCAGAATGTGCCCCTTAATTGTTTAAATGATTATATATTCCTGAGTGTTTTGGTCTACATCCCCCCACCAAAACACACACACACACACACACACACACACACACACAAACCCCCCCAAAAAAACCCAACACAAAAACACACAAAAAAAACCCCACAGGGCATAGAAGCAAATACTGTTGAATGATGATGATGCACAGAGGGGATTATAATCATTGCAATGAAACAATGAGTGTAAAACCGATGTTCTCCCATGTAAACTATCACTCAATTCACAATAAAAACTTTATATATATAAACTGTGGATGTTGACATTAGGTAGTCTGGATTCAGTCAAGAGTTACTTTAGACTAATACAACTTGATAGAACCCACCAGATGTGAAGAGGTAACAGAAAAGAATAAAGTCTATTAGGATGTTTGGAAAAATACAGTTTAAGGACTGTATTCATAGAGGATTAAATTTTGTCCCCAAAATACTGGTCAGGAATGTGATACAGGAAAAAGTAGAATAAATAAAGCTAAGTAACTGGTGTGTTTTAGTTTTATATAGATTTATAACATTATATGCTACCATATGCTGTATTGTTGTTAAGTACCATTGAGTCAATTCTGACTTGTAGTGACACGGTATAGGTTTCCTAGGCTGTAAATCTTTGCAGAAGTTAAAAGCTTCCCCTTTCTCCCAGTAAATTGGTTGGTGGGCTCCAACTAACTGTAGTTAGCAGTCTAGTGCTTATCTTACAGTGCCACACCAGTCCTCCTATGCTGTATTATTGTAGTTGGTAAGCGCTATCTAGTTGGTTCTGACTCATAGTAATCCTGTTCTGAGGATCAACTTGTGAGCTTGAACCACTGACCTTGAGATTCAAACAGAACTAGTGGTCCAGTGCTTATTCTACAGTGTCACACCAAGATTATATTAGGATCTCTTATTTTGGAGTTAAGAGCTGAGTCATTCTCAAGTGCATGGTAAATTGCTTGTATTTTGTTCGCAGTTTTAATCATCCTGGCTACCTTTGTCAATCCCCACCACTTCCCCCACACATTTTTGATATATTTAGAATGAACTTCATGAATCAGCAACTACTTATGTGGTGAGACTGGTAGGCCACACCTCTCCTTCCTAAGTCCTTGTACATGATTTCTCTCTATTGTTATTTTTTAATCTCAGAGAGTGATGTATTAATTCACATCTTAGCATAGATGAATTTTCTGCTTTTTTTTTTTTTTTTCATAAGTGGAAATTTGAGAGACCAAGAGAGTCTTAGTATCTGTAAGTTTGAAGTGTAAGGAAAGTGAGGCGTGAAGAGTCACCTGCTTTAAAATAAATGATGCCTCAACAGCCTTTCTCATGTCCCCAAAATACTGCACATAAATGTTGCTCAAAGACTACTAGGATTGTGTACTTTGTAGCTAATATTTGGTCATGTAACAGGACCCCAGCAACCTTCAGTCAAATATGCAGGACCCCAGCAACCTTCAGTCCTGATTTGAGGTCCTTACCTTCAGAATTGGACGAAATTCTTTCTCTAGAAGTTCCTTTAAGTCATCCACGCTCAGTGTGCCACACTCCCCATCTTGCTTGGTGTATTTGTAGAAAACATCAATGATCGTGACAACACTTCTCAAGAGGAGACTCATCTTTTTGGAAGTTTAAGTGAACCTAAATTCACACACACAAAATAAAAGACATCATTCATTTTATCAGTAATTTAGATTTTTAACCACGCTTTTGCAAACCTCTTGTTCCTTTCATACCTAACATACCATATATGTAAGGATGAGTGAGGGATGACATAACATCTTTCGACACAGTGTAAACAAACTCAAGTCATGTCATGTTACTGACCTGGCTGGGTCTACATGTCAGGTCTCTATATTTCTTGTCTTGGATATACATTGTATTTATACAATATCCATAGCAGAAATATGCAGTAAACTGCTGCTGTAAAGATTTATAACCTAGGAAACCCTAAGGGCAGTTCTACGGTGTCCCATAAGGTCACAATTCGTCAGAATTGAATTGATGGCAATGGGCTTGGATTTACACAATAGATATTATTGTTGTTAAGTGCGGTCAAGTCTGTTCCAACTCACAGCGACCTTGTATAGGGTTTTGAAGGATCAGCTGCTGGGTTTGAGTTGTTGGCCTTGTGGTTTGCAATCCAATGCTGATCCTACAGCATCATATCACTCAAAATATAGAAGTATCTATATTGTGTGGTGCTGTAGGGTCAGCATTGGACTGTGAAGCACAAGGTCGGCAATTCAAACCCAGCAGCTAATCCTTGGAAACCCTATACAAGGTCGCTGTGAGTTGGAACAGACTTGACCGCACTTAACAACAACAGCAATATTGTGATTACTTTTGTGTCTTGGGCCTTTTCTTGGAGCTTCCAAATTTTCTAGATCCACCCAGATGCAATTGCCTGTCTCTCTTCCTGATTTCACATTTTTCTTAATCAAAAAGTGATAGATCTTTTTCTCAGCTCACTTATTTCTCCTCTGAGTTAATAACCTGGACCCTTAAGACCTTTGGTTCATAAAAAATTGGCAATATAGGACAAACATATGTTGGTGCTTCAAAAGCACAAGGAAGCCCTCATCAGAGTTCAGCAACTGTTCTAGTCAAACACTGTTCTCACTCATTAATCTGTAAGAAACTTCACCAACACAAGCCATAGTTTGACTAGTGGATGATTAGATTCTAGAGATGTCATATCTGACACCGAGAAGGAAGGGACTCTACAACAGCTTCTCCCTGTTTGGGCAGAATAGCCAAAGAAAGATGCTATGCAAAGAGATAGGGAAGAGTGTGTAGAATGACATAGGAGAAGGCATATTCCTACTTGTAATTTTCTTCTCCATAAAGACAAATATTCCAAAAAACCCTCAGAATGAACTAAATTAACCAAACACATGAACAAAAAGAAGAGAAAAATCCAAGTACATATTAACTCTGTCTCAATTCATACTTCTGAGTTTTTATTGAGGGCAACAACAAATATCCTTAGAGTTTTTTTTTTTTTGGTATGAATTTTCTCTTACCTGGCTTACCAAAGGAACAAGTAGGATAGAGCCTGATGCAGCTTGCAGGGTGAAGATGGTTTGGGATTGTGACCCTTATATATTTGTATAGTATGTGGTCCTGCCTTCTGTGGGATGACACTGCCCTTGGTTGGATTGCTAACCCATTCTAACTCCACCTCTCTTATGTTTATCTTCTTAAAATGTGATTGCAAAAAGTCTGGACCAGCCCCACCTTTCAGATGACATGTTGCAGGACACTTGTTTTCAAAGTCACACATTTGTGAAAACAAAGGCCATGTTTTAGAGTACCTGTGCATTTCATTCCCTTTATCTAGTACCCACAGAATATAGCAAAGTGTTAGAAACGAATCAACTGTTTAATGATGCTTATTTAATTGAAACAGAGTCACATTTATGAATGCTAATCATGAGGCTCACCTAATTCATGTGCTTTTCCAATAATAATGACTATCACTTATTGAGAATTCATTATGTGAGACCCCCAATGAGATGGATTGGCATAGTGGCAGCAGCAATGGCCTCAAGCTTAACAACGATTGTGAGGATGGTACAGGATTGGGCAGTGTTTCATTCTGTTACACATAGGGTCGCTGTGAGTTGGAATCAACTCCATGGCACCTAACAACATCAACAAACATTGTGCTGAATATTTTCCCCTCATAATTTCATTTAATCACAATCTTACTATGACATATGTTTTTATCCCATTTTACAGATGATCAGATTCAGAGAACATAAGAATCTTATCCAAGGTCACACAATTAGGAGGAGTCAGAATCTGAACCTGTATCTGCCATCTAATGCCCTTGCTTTCTACTGTTTTGCTAACTTACCTATTTGCTGTATGACAACATTGTTTTAGGAATGCTAGGCCCACCAAAATACAAATAATATGGAAGCATACTAACAGTGATGCTACCATCTAGGAAGAGAAGAAACATGTTCTCTGACTCTCTGGTGGCTTGTTTATAAGCTATAAAAGTACAAAGTAATGTTGTTGTTCTTAGGTGTTAAGTTGGTTCCGACTCATAGAGACCCTATGCACAACAAAACAAAACACAGCCTGGTCCTGTGCTATCCTTAACATGTTTGAGTCCATTGTTGCAGACACTATATCCACCCATCTCATTGAAGGTCTTACTCATTTTTGCTGACCCTCTGCTTTAACAAACATGCTGTCTTTCTTCAGGGACTGATCCTTCCTGAAAATGTGTCCAAAATACTTAAGATGAAGTCTTGCCCTCCTTCCTTCTAAGTAGCATCCTGACTGTACTTCTTCCAAAACAGATGTGTTCATTCTTCTGTCAGTCCTTGATATATTCAGTATTCTTTGCCAACACCATACTTCAAAGGCATCAGTTCTTTTTGTATTGTTATGAACTGGGTGAAGGAATATAGAGCATATCATCGGCTTTACATGAGATAATTCATGCAAATTGTGTTTCATCTCACTGGTCATAATCCCTCAATGTGACCTCCTCACTTATCCCACTTCCTCTCTCTGTTTCTTGTTTGTATTCCTCCTTCTTTCCTAACTCTTTTGAACTTTGTCCTTGGGTAAATGCTGACCTTTTGATCTCAAGTGATGGATTATTCTAAGGTTTGTGTACCTTACAAGTGTTAGTGTTCTCCTTACCAGCCTATCTATGGTTTGACTGAAAATTGAATCATAGGGTTGAGTTAAATTCCAAACCTGAAGGGTGACCGAGGATCACAGTTGTGGGATCCACTAATTTCTATCTAACCAGTAAACCTGTTTGGTTTTTTTTTTTTTTTGTTGTTTTCTTTTTTTTTTTATGATTTTGATTTTTGTTCCACATTTTTCTCCTACTTTATCCAGGACCTTTCAAAGCAATTGGTAAGTGGTAGCCAGGCATCCTCCTGTTTTTCTGGTCTCAGGATGATGGAGACTGATGTTCACATGGTCCATTAGTCCATTGGACTAAATGTTTTCATGTGTCTTTGATTTTCATCACTTTTGTTTCCTCCAGTTAGGGAGAGGCCACTAGTTGCACCTTAGATAACCACTCATGAGCTTTTAAGACCCCAGCTGCTACTCACTAAAATAGGATGCAAAGCTTTGTCTTTGTGGACTCTGTTACAAAACTATCAAGTCTTCTTTGGACTTCCTTATCTACTTCATACGCTTTCACATTCATATGAAGTGATAGAAAATACTATGACTTGGGTCAGGCACATGTTAGTCCTCAAAATGACATCTTTGCTTTTTAACATTTTAAAGAGGTCTTTTGCAGCAGATATACCTAAAAATAATGTTTTCAGAAGTGTTAAGGGTGAATATAGAGAAGGATTTCTTCTTGGGCTTTCCTTCAATACTCTGCTAACCATTGTAGCTTAGCAGTTTGAGGTCTGGACCCTTGGACGTGGAAGTATATAAAATGTAATATCTGAAGGAAGAAAAAATAATCAGAAATTTTGAGGACTGGCATGGACAGCCAGCTTTTCTGTACTTTGCTCCCAGGTGATGATGATGATGAGATGCTGATAGAAGCTCTCTTTAATTAAGTGCTTCCTATTTTCTAGATGGAATCCTGGTATGGCGCTGCAGGTTAATGTGCTGGACTGCAAGGTGGGTTTGAACCACAAGATCGGCAGTTCAAGCTCACCAGTTACTCCTCAGAAACCCTATATAGGTTAACTATGAGTTGGAAGCGGCTCAATGGCACTTAACAACAACAATAAAAATTTTCTAGATACAGTATTTTACACCCTTATCTATTTATTCCTCACAATAATGCTGTAAGGTCAGTATTATTATTGTCATCCCTGTTTTAACAAATGAGGGTATAGAAACATAGAGGATTTAATGGAGGTGGTGGTTATGCGCCAGGGAGTCAGTTCTGACTCATACCGACCCTGGGGTTCCGAGGCTGTAAATCCCAAGGAGAGGCTGATAGATTCAGACTGCTAACCTTTTGGTTAGCAGACAACTCAAAACGCTACCGAACTCCTTAGAGGATTTAATGACTTGTCCAAAAATCACAGATAGGAAGTAGCAACTCCAGGATAGAAACCTATGCTGTCCAGTGCTAAAGCCTGGCGCTTATTTATATAAGTTTTTGTTAAGTGCCATCTAGTTGCGTCTGATTCATAGCGACCCTGTATAGGGTTTCCGAGGAGGAGCTGGTGGGTTTGAACTGCCAACATTTAGGTTCAAACTGACCTTGCGACCCAGTGCTTATCCTACAGACATACACCAGCACCACTACTTATGTATATACCACATATAGACATAACTCCTATTTGGACTTTCCTTCAGGGCAACTATCATAATGTGTTCACTCCACCATCTAGACAAGACCTGTTGTTATGTGTTGTTGAGTCCTTTCAGATTCATAGCGACCCTGTATAGAGTTTCCAAGGAGCAGCTGGTGAATTTGAACTGCCGACCTTGCAGTTCAGTGTTTATCCTACAGCACCACACCAAGACTCCAGGACCCAGATAGAACTTGGAAAACACTAAAAAAGAGTGTCTGTTTGTAAAATTCTAATGGTATACTAATGTGATAGGACCATTGCTCTCAAAGCCACAGAGTTCTGGTGTGGTGCTGTAGAATAAGCAAGCACTG